AATTTAAATTGAAGCCATGCACATAGAAAAGTCTGAAATTAGGTATTTAGGTAGGTTTTTAGTTTATTTGGAAAACATGCAGTGCAAACATTCAGAGCGGACTCCTGTACATCTCTGATGCAGGAGCTGCCCGAGTTGGGTTGAAATGAATTGTTTTTCTCTGCTTAAAACAAAAGGAACACATCATTTGGGGCCTCACATGCTAAAAAACAGCTTGACTAGTATTTGAGGGGTACAGTTCACTTCAGAATCAAATAAACATATGTTGTATGTGTGTTTTGTGTACGCTGCTCAGTTTGGGAGATGTTGACTGTAGAGATGCTTGCAGCCTCTTGAATATAATAGAACTAAGTGGCACTTGCTTTGTGGTGCTCAAAGTGCCAAAAATGAATCTGATTAGTTATTGTTCGAGAGTTCAATTTTTTTTAATGCTAAACGGCAATAACAGGTGACATTAACATTCGTGTCTTTTTATACTTTGCTTTGCCATGTGTGCGTTTGCAGATGCTGAATGCACACCATGCACCATGCTGTTAGCTGATTCCACTTCCACTATTGTCATCGGCCACATAAAAACACACAATGGCTATACACTTTTGCATGAGATTGATGTGCTGGACGTGCGAGTTTCGTCAGAGGGCTTTCCTGGCAATATTTGAATAGATGTGTTGGGTTTCATTGTTTTGTTGACACACAAACAAACACTGGTGCGTGCATTTATGAAAGCATAAATGAACTGCACACACATGCACACACCCACCCACTGGGTCATCCCTGTGCGTGTCACACAGCAGCTCCCAAGAGGAGCACTGAGGTGAAAAGACAGAGACGGAGTTTGACATAGAAACCAGTTTGTTTTGTTGACTCCATAATTACGGTGTTGTCTGGCAGCATCAAAGCACAAACAGAATAATAGTTATTACTTTACAATGCAAGAAAACAATTTTAGATCAGATCTTAGAAATATCATCGTTTTTACATCTATAGCACCAGTTTAATGTTTTTTTTAATTGAGATCATTTTTGAGAAAATAGAAAATTATAATTGATTTTTTGCACATGTGATTAAATCTATCTGATGAGTTGATTTGTAGGTTTTGTGTACATTCACACAAACTGTATGTGAAGTGAATAAATTGTGTTTGCGTTTTGCTGTTGTCTGGTTTACTCTTGAATGTCCCGCAGATTGTAATTCTCATCATAGACATGAGTCTAAAAAGTTTCACCGTCAACAACGACATTAACAGTGACTCTGTTGGATTTGTGTCTCATGTGTGCGTGTCAGCGAGCCAGCATTAACAACAGCACGGCGCTGAAACGAAACCATCCAACTCGCATTTTATCCATTTTGTTATTTACACCTGTGCTTTTCCTGCCGTCACATGTCAGAGTGTCTTCGGTAATAAATGGCTTTTTGTTCAGAACAGACTGATGAAATGTGAATCTTGACCCTCTCGTTATGGTGTTCATAGTGTTAGCGCAGGCAAACGCTTGAAATGGATAAATAGTCTGGCTTGTTGTTACAGAGAACAATGATGATATTTGACCGCTTTCAGCAGAAAATATTTAAGTGAAGGTAAAGTGCAGGGGGGATGGATGCTGGTGTATTGCACTGCATCTCTTAAAGCATCTGACGTGAAGTGAAGTGAAATTTATTTCGATCAATAACAACAACACAGATTATCATTTTACATAAAAGTACTCAATCATACAGTAACCAAAAAAGGAATAGGCTGAAGCCTTGTGGCTTATAATTATCCTATCCTTTACCCCATAGGAATAATCAAATCCTTAACCAAGAAAATAAATAGCATTGATAAATCAGTTATATAACAGTTTGAAAAAAAAATCAATGATAAATCAAGAAATTAAATCAACACAAAGTTATTCATCAAACCAAATTTCCGTAACCTTGAATGATACAAATTTTTAAATTCTTCCTGAAAAATGACAAAGAGAAACACATCTTCAGTTCATCATTAAGTCGGTTCCATAATTTCACTCCCAAAACTGACACACAACATACTTAACATCAGGATCTGCAAAGTTCCGGCCCACTCTTATACGTAGAATAAATATCTGTTGGTTTGTTGAGAGCTAACTGAACGCACAGCACGTCATTAAAACTGATAATATAATAATAATAGTATTCAATAACAATTTGCACATTGCTACCTGCTTTTATATTTCTGCATTATTCAGTGATAGAGAAAACCTTTTAGGAGGGTTTTCAAACTGTATATCCTTCAAACTTTAAGTAAAATGGGCTTACTTTAACAGCTAACTGCTGACTAGTACTTATAAACACTTTAAAAAAAATAGATTAAAGCTGCATGCAATGTTTCTGCGTCTTTAAAGACAGTGTTTATTGGTAGTGCTATAAATGTATAAATTATTCGCTGCAAGAATAATAAATAAAAACTTATAGAAAGTCATTTATTCTAATGCACTGCATTAAATTTTTTAAAATGTGTTTATGCTAGAACTATGTAATCTAAACTCATAACGAATTGTGTTAGTGACATGCACAATCTTAAATACTAGACTCTGCATCACTAATTTTATTTTGATATCTGCCAAATTGTCAATCTAGAATCACAACTCTGAGGTTGCAATCAGTGGTTTTTACCTGTTGTCTCCTTGTACTGAAGTCACTGGTTGTTGAATACTTGCGAATGCAGAAGACATACACAACTTGGGCTTTTAAATATAAAAAATAATCGTCATCCAGCTTAGAAGTTAAGTGGACTGATGAAAATGACAGAATGAAGTGACAGAAATCAGAAGCTTGTCCTTTCTTGTTTGTGCCCTTGTGAAAGTGCACATGTTATTCCTATTGATCCCCAATTGTCTCTTGAAGAAGGATATTTAACCTTCTGTCCTCCAACTTTACCCAAAATCTTTATGTCGGTGTGAATCTGATTGAAACAGCAGATGACCGGGCTTGTCACTGTGGCTATTCTCACTCTGTCTGACTTGTTCTGATGTGATAAACCTCAGGCATCTACATGTTCAAGGAAGTCTAAATATATTCAAGTTCAACCTCTCGTGTAAATGGCTCACAGAATTTTATACATTTATGTTTAGACGAAACAGGACTGGGCTGAGAAAAGACTGAAGAAAACTAACATACAAAATGAGATACGTGCTGATTTAACTTGTGTGTTTGTGCAGTTTATGCCGCACTTTATTGCCAAAGGAGCAAGAATACATTTTCTCTCATAACTTTAACCTGCAGTGTCCTCAGAGGACTTTGTCATGTGCTCCAAACATTTATTTATTTATTTTTTCCGAGGCTGGCAAGGGACCTTCTTAGCATCATAGGGAATTGTGTGCATGCGTGGATGTGTTTGTGTGTGAGTGACTGAGAGACAGACACAGAAAAACGTAACATTTTCCATCAACAGATGGGGATTATTCACGCTGCCCAAGTCTCTGCTCGTCCTCACTGCACAATGTACAGTATGTGTGAGGAGGAGAGAAAAAAAGTATTATCTTTTTGCAAGTGTGCTCTGTCAAAGAGAATTTCAGAGTCGCATCACATAACGATTTCTCCTCTTAAAAGGAAACACTTTAAAAACAAAAATACTAAAAAAAACCCTGAATTTTTATGTATTTGTTGTTTTGCAATAATTTAAAATATTGTTAAAATATTTTTATCTGCTTACCTCCAATTCATTGTGTTTTGATGCTTATTGGC